TTCAAAATAAGTTTCGAAATTAAATACATATAATAGTATGGCTAGATTATATTTTAGATAAGTGGTCTTCTTTCATAAAAAATAAAAGTTAGACTTATACTTTCCTCATACGACTTAAATTAAAATTGTTATGATGAGGTTTTTTTTATAAACATCAATAAATCACTATTACAACATAAATAATTAACTATTACATCTTTTGAATTACACATTAATAAAAAATGAAAAAGCACCTTATAAGAAATCAATCTTGACCTTTTAACGAGGGTTGACTCATCTACCTACTAGTTACTAGAATTAAGTGTAACCAACAATACTATGCTTGGTCGGTTATTGTTGCAATGGGTTTTAGTGATTTTAAATTGATCATTCTCAGTAAATTGACTTTCTTGGTCGCTCTATGTTTTAGCTCTTTTTTTGTCTCCTCCCTTTTATTATTTTTGTTAATGTGAATTGAAATTGGATCTTGATATTTGAAATCGTAATAAATTGGGGTTTAAACTTAGAAATCATAAGATTAGAATTTGAAATTAGAATGCAAGAATTATAACTTCAAATTATTTTAAATTAGTTTTTAATTTAATTGTATTGTATATTGGGATCTATTTATTATGAATTATATTTTTAATTAATTTATTTGAACAATTGGATTTTAACAATTTATCTGTGATCAATCAAAGTATTCTTATATATAAGTTTTAATAAAGTTGTGACAAATAGATTTTTTTCTAAATTATTTCTATTAAGTTTGTCTATTAAATGAATACGTCTAGTCCTATCAAGTTGTTTGTCAAAAACTCAATAATAAATTATTGAGTTTATGTTCAAAAAGAAAAAAATTATGGATTTGAGTCAAACCAAACATATTGATTTTGAATTAATTATGAGTAAATATTATAAAAAAAATAATATTGAAATAGTTTTAGGTTGCCCCCACTATGAATGATTTCTGGCTCTGCCTTTGACCAAAATGCTCAATCTATTGTAGATCAGGGGTCCGGTAGACTGTGTCAAGGGTTGTTTGGCCATTTGGTCGACTAGGTCTGGGCTAAAAGCGCTCCCAACTTCAGTCCTGGTTTAAGTTTTTGATGATTTTATTATAAAAGCTTATCAAACCAGAGTCACATGTTTGTGTGCACTATTTTTAAACTATATTGAAAGAGTAAGCTCACACAATTAAAAACCATTCTATTATTTTTTTAATAATTCAATCACAACCACCATGCCCCGAGGTGTTGTGTTCCATCCTCCCCAACTTACATCTAACTCAACTCCACAAATCAAATCAAAGTTTTCTCTAGGTTTTCACTATGGAAATTTTCAACGCTAACTAACAACCCACGTAAAAAGTTCATCCCCTAAGGTTTATTGTAAGTTTTCCAAGTGTGCTTACGACCTACCTAGTGGTATAACATTAGGATTCCTCTAAAGTTTTGTACTTAGGCTAACAGTTATAGATCAATTTCAATATAACCTTAGTCAAGCACTACACGAAGGCGATCTTATAGAATGACATAGAGCAAAGACTGATCCACATATTGGCCTAGGGCGCTCATTTCTAGAAATCCACCCTATACCACCACCACCCCCCCCTCCAGGTTTTTAAAAAAGCAAGATAATTACATGGATGAGTGTTGTTATGATATATGGAGATCCTTGATTGAAGGAGTTTGAGCAAAATTGGGTTACAAATGTGGCTTTATCCAAAGTAATGAATTAATTAACTTTTTATTTCACAATGGTATCATGTGAAATTATTGTTTGTGAGGATAATTCATTCATAGTCATCATATCATACGAGGATGAGGGATAAGAGAGGCTGGAGACATTGCCACAAACTAACTTTTATGATGGTACTATGGTGTTGTATGAAAGTTAATTTGCTAGGTAACAGTTTGTCACTAACGATGACTTGTTGAATAAAATTCGGGATTATTTTATTATTTGACACTCTAAGCCTACAATCTTGGCTCCATCCCTGACCTAGAGTCAAGCCTTTTTCATGAGTGTGGGGATCAAGGGGTGTGGTAAAGGTGGGTGTCTTGCCTACACAGATAAAATGAATTAATACCTCAATGGAGGCTTCACTGCTGTAATGAATGTGCTCTTCATATCTCCTTTGGCTAGTGGCACTCTAGATGGTGAGAGGTTGAGACCGGTGCTCACTTGAAGCTTCCTAAATCACCATAGTGTGTTACGAAATCTGTATATGTAATTTACAGCTTTCTATCATCATGTTCTCACTTAGAACAACTGAAAACTATACATAGTAGATCACACAATGGCTAGGTGTTTTGAATGTCTAACTAGCTTGGTCGACCAAGTCTGGTCCAGCTTAACCAGTTTTGCTACTGACTAAGTTGGAATGTACTTAGCCGACTGTGGGACAGTGTCCAATTCTAGTGATGACTTCCCAAAACTATTGATTTGTCCTTGCTGCTTGAAGCACTTCTGGATGTTGATATCCCTTTACTTTGCTTGGTTGATTTCCTTGACTTTTTTCATCTACTGTGAAGTCTTGAACTAAGAAGTACGGACACTTCATTTTGGTTGGAGTGTCGGTGTTGGACATGTCTGAGACATGTACATGCTCAGACACGCTAAAAGGAGTGTTCGATTTTTTCATTGTTAAATTTTTTTTAGGACGTGTTGAGAACACGCTGAAAGAGATGTTTTAAGATTTTTTTTTCAAAATTTTGAAAACTTGTCAAATAACGTTATAATTAGTGAAATTATTTTTATAATTTTAAAGAGATATAGGTCAAAGAAATAGATAAAAAAATTATAATCGCTACATGAACATACCATGATTTCATACATAACTATGAAATTTATATGTGATGAAGAATGCGGGTTACCAAATTGGGGCTCTTGCAAATTGATGAAAATTAGGGTTACAAAGTGAGATATTTTTTAAAATGAAAATTGTAGAAGTTATTGATTATTGGATCATGAATATTTATGATGAATGTGCATCGGTATATGTGATATTGTATTTTTTTATTCGATGCTATCATGATGTGAATTGTTAGAATTAAGGAAAGGATGAATTGAATGATTATTATTAAATTTGTTTATTTTAAGACATGATCAAATATATATATATATATATATATATATATAATATTTGATGTGTTCCCCAACATGTCTGTGTCCTACTTTTTTTGAAAATTTTTTTGTCGGCATGTTGGTGACCCATGTCTGTGTCTGGACTTCTTAGGTCTTGAGGCATCAACTCTACTCTTGATGGTGCAGTTGTCTTCGTCTTGAGTTGTAATACAGTTTAAAAGACGTGCCATGTTCAATTGCACAGGAGCTATATGGATTGTATTTTGTTGAGCTTTGCCTAGGGCTCCTTTGTTAAATCAGGCAATCATGTCGATTCAGATTGCACTAGTGGCTCAGCTCACACTCTTTTTGGGCTTTGTATTGTACTCATAGCAGCTTAACATTAACCAGATTATCCTCCTTTGGTATCCATTAGGTTCTTTTGGACATACCCACCATCTTAGTAACCCTTTCTCATTTTCATGTATTCGCAAATACCTCCAGTTCCATGTGGTTCCGTCCTTAACTAGGTTTTTTTTTTTTTTTTTAATTGTAACTTTTGGGTCCTTCTCCTACCTGTTTATCTGTCATCCTAACAGATGTTTGTCCCCTAGCTTTATGGCATCCTAATATGGTACTGATACTTTTCCCCAGCAGAATATGGCAAGCTACTGGATTGCATATATTCTGCATTGCAGCATCACTGACCTTGCAATTGTAATGCAGATTTTTTCACTATTTGGTTGTTAATTTGGAGGTAGATTGTCAGAAAACATTCTTAAGAGGATTTCTGTTTCATCCTTCATTTTTTAAGCTTGTCAATTTTTATTTTTATTTTCTGTTTTCTGCATCTCTTGCTGATGACCAACAAAGATGGTATATGTATTCATACCTGCTGCCTATCTCCTACGGAAGTGGTCATGGTCATGGTTTTTAATGAACAGAACAACTACATTTCTCAAAACTCTCACACAATAGGACTCCTAGTAAGTGTGAAGTTTTTTTATTGTTAATGATCGCAAAGCTCTCATACATTTGGACATACACTAGTACTGCTAGTATGTGTTTAGTGTTTCTATTGTTAGTGTTATCTATTGAAATCTATTTTTTGTATGCTACAGTTGTGTACATGTTTATATGGTAAATATTAAAAGAAGGAATGACATCATTGTATCATTGTCAATACTTGAGTCAATAAGGATGACACTTATAAATGTCCAAAGCAGGCTTCCAAAAATGCAGAGACTTATTTAATGTTGACATTTGTCTGGAAAGGCCACTTGTACTGAGGAGGAACTTCCAGTTCCCAAGTTCTACCAACCAATTCTCACTGCATTACTTCTGAGTCTTTCTTACAGTAAAATTTCACTTACAAAGCATTTTGCGTAGCTTTGGTTCACAAAATGTTATCTAATGGTTGCCCCAATTTTGTATTTACTGATTTACCAAAGTTTTAGTTGCTGTAGCTTTTTTGCTTATCTTGTCGTCATTAAAGTAAGGATGATAAAGATCTGTGCCATTGGCAGACCAAAGTAATGGGGACAATTTGACTACCAGAATTTGATGTATGCACAAAAATTGAGTGTCCGGGGGTCAAATTGCATTTGGTTTAAGAAAGAATGAAGATGGTTGCAGTTTTGTGGATGACAAGTTTTGGTAGTGTTTGATTCCTATTTAGAAATCCTCAAAACCATCTGATTTTCTGAACGTTGTTGCATAGGGAATATTTTGTATTAGGTTTCTTAATTGCACATAATATCTGAATTTAATATCATTCTCTGGACAGTGCCTCCAATCTAATGGCCATTGGTCACAGCTTTGATAGTTAGAAACCCTTACCAAGTTATATTGATTCAGAAATCTTGCTGGATGAATATCCGCCGTTACATATATTTTATGGCATCTAGTACTAGCCATAAATTTCGTCGGTCTATAGCTAGACTTTTGGGGCAATGCAACCTCTTAAGGTTGTTCTCTGCGAAGGAGGTTCAAAAGTTTGATACTAACCAGGAAAATCTGTGTATATACTTTATCCATGTGAGTGGTTGGCTAAAATGAGCAAGTGCTGCAGTTTATTTGTTAAGACAAGTGAGGTTAATAGATTTGATTTCATTTACTTCTAATTTGCCTCCTTGTGTGAAAGAAAAAACAAAGAAAGGTGCCAATAGATCTTTGACAAAACTTACCATTCAATTCTGAGAGTCTTTTTTATATGTAGCGTTACAAAGTAACTTTGGATAGAGATAGTCAAAATGCATTGTAGACCAGTGGGAAATGACTTTTACCCTGGCAGAGTGCAACTCTTGTTAAACGAGAGTCATGAGCAAAAGGGTTGGTCTAGATGTCTCACATTTGTTAATAGTTTCTTTTCACTGAGTATGGATTAAAAATCATAGAGGGAACAACCCTCAAATAGTGCTAATGCTGGAATATCTTATATCTTCAGAATAGATCTTTGACAAAGCTTACCATTCAATTCTGAGTCTTTTTTATATGTAGCGTTACAAAGTGACTTTGGATAGAGATAGTAAAAATGCATTGTAGACCGCTGGGAAATGACTTTTACCCTGGCAGAGTGCAACTCTTGTTAAACGAGAGTCATGAGCAAAAGGGTTGGTCTAGATGTCTCACATTTGTTAGTAGTTTCTTTTTGCTGAGTATGGATTAAAAATCATGAGGGAACAACCCTCAAATAGTGCTGATGCTGGAATATCTTAGAATATCTTCAGAATAGTAGATGGCTTGCAAGGGAAGTTGGTTTTTAAGATAAAAAGAGGGATGATATGTGTTTGTGTGTGGGTGGACGCGCACGTGTGTGTGTGTGTGTGAGAGGGAGAGAGGGACTTAGGACTGGAAGGAGGAAGTAGGAGAAACAGGAGGAAGGGCAAGAAATATTGTTATGGTACCCAAGTGATTTCATACAGCTACTATAAATTCAGATATATAATGCATATCCATCTCAGGAAATAGTTTAATGACAATGTTAAAACTCTATGTGCAGCCTTGTAATGTTAACATTATTGCTTAGGCATTGAAGAGAATAAATAATTGGCAAGGAGTTGACATTTAGCCCCTTATTATGGATGAATCACAAAGCCAAGGTGTCTGTCCTTAGAAAGGAGGTTTCTCATGAGCCACATGAGTGCTAACAGACGCTTGCGAAAGATATGCCATTATTATTATTATATCCTCCTCTTAGAAGGATATGAGGATGCTCTATATTCATAACCACAATCTCACTTGTTGCACGTTTTATGATACGGCTGCTGTGCTCCTACACTTGTTTGTCAAGGAAATTTTGTTCAATCATATTTCATTTGCAGTTGTTAATTGATCAAAATATATCGTGCGTGTGTTTGATAGGTTTCGAGTGACCAAAAACCAGTTACAGGCCTGCGCTTGTTCTTAGAAGGGAAGAAATGCAATCGATTGGCCATACATGTACAGCATCTTTCGAGTCTTCCAAATATTATGGCATTTACAGCTGCCGACACAACCACACGTAGGCCATGTCAATGGAGAGGTTCTGATGAATTCGAGTCCACTTCCCAATTCTTGGAACCAGTCAGATGGAAGAGATACTCAAATGTGTGCTCCTCAGCAGTTAAGCATGACCCAAATTGGATGCGGGGAGTGTCGAGTGGCGTCTTTGTAGTGACTGGTGCACAACTTATCAGCAAGGGAAATTGGCCAAAGACGGTTCTTCACCTCCGCCTGCTTTTCACCCACCTACCTAATTGCACAATCCAAAAGACGGAGTGGGCGGCTGCACCAGAAGCTTCTCGGAAGTCGAGTTTCCTCATGAATCTGAGCACTACTTTCACATTCTCCCGGACTGCTATTGATCCACCAAAGCAGCTACCAGCTACACTGAACTCTGGTGTATACCCTGATGGCCCACCTGTACCAGTTAGGTCCAGAAAGCTACTCAAATATGTCGATACAGCTGAGGTTTTGCGGGGTCCACACGATACTCCGGGACATTGGTTGGTAACAGCTGCTAAACTAGTGACTGAGGGTGGTAAGATTGGTTTGCATGTAAAGTTTGCATTGTTAGATTATTTACAGGAATCGTAGTTTGAGTGTACATATGAACGGGTGCTTTAGGTCATGCTTTTACTCAAGGTTGCTTGAACATAATATAAAGAAAAGAAAGAGCATCGTAGCTTTGTACAGAAGCAAATCAAATTGCAAAAGTGCATTGGATTGTTTATAAATTTGTTTTCAATGATGAGTGACGAGGTAAAGTGGGGTTGGACCACTGCAATTTTCATAAATTGGTTTGTCTTTTAGCATGTCATTGTCTGAGAATATCACAGCATCAATGAACTGACCTCTCTCGCTCTTTCTCTCTCTCACACACACACACTAACACATTTGTTTTATGGTTGACAATTTCTGTAATGACAGTATTTGACTTGATCCGTAGTAAGTTTAGGTTGACTACTTTTCGAGGCAAACCCAAAAATGATGCAGCTTTCTAATACCAATAGTAAATGAGTCAGATCAGAGTCAAACATGAGGGCTTTGAAATTGACACGAGTAATACATTTATTTAGTATTTTATATATAAAATATCAAATTTTTGTATTTTTATTTAGTATAGACATGAATTCTTGTATTATAAGAGAACTAGTGATTGCCCGTGTCTAAAGGCACTTGTATAATAAACAAATCAAGGGGTAGTTGCGTAATATAAATATTCTATAGCAATAATTTTTTTTTATTTTCTAAAGTCACGCAATTTTAAATAAATTAAGTTTTTTTATTTTTTTTCTCTAATGTTTCATCTCAATCCAATCAAACCAAATTCAACTCAATAGTGATCCAACCAATTAGAAAAATACTTATTCTTCATTGCTAACCATGTCTCAATACAATTTTTCAATAATAGTACCAACCTTTATATTGATTTTGAGTTTCATTAATTGTAACATTAATCATAAAGAGTTCAATTCAAAAAATATAAACATAGATCATGACTCGAAAACACAAATGAAAAAACTAAAAGAGGATAATATCGAATCAAGGAAATCCTAACTTAACTCAATCAAATTGATATAAAACATTCCACCCACAAATAACGAAACAACTCACAAATCGAATAATTTGGATCATCATAACACCAGAAATCCACACATAATTAAACAAACAAACGAAAATCTAAATCCAACTGAAAATGAAGAAAAACCTTAGAACATCTCACAATTATCAAATACATCAAATAAAGACACATTGAAGCATACATACCAATGCATAGAAAAATATACAATCAAAAAAAAAATGCATAGAAAAATAGAGATACAAACTTGTGCTTCCTTAAACTAGGAAAAAAAACTAAAATAATACACTTATCATGCAAACTCAAAAAATTCAGAACAAACACATTTTCCATATGAAAATTAAAACTCAAAACACACACGTCAACCAGGTAGACTGATGAGGGAGAAGAGAGTTTGTTCTTTAAAAGAAGCCACCAGTATTGTTTCTAGGCTTTTGTGACTCTTCAACACCAACTTTAATTTCATTATTCTCCTTATGCACTTGAATATTGGGAGGCTTCTAAAAAGAAAATAAAGAAAAAGAAACGAAAATTGGTTATACGCAAAACCATCATGTGCATAAAATAGAACTTAAAATATATGAAAGAAAATTATAAAATATTTTTACAAAACCCATATCAACATTCTCATAAAAAATAAACCTTTAATTAGAAAGAGATATCCAGTGAAAAAGTGGAGACAAATCAAAGCTACATTAACATTCACATCAAGAACTAATATTTCAAACAAATATATAGAAATTTATCATATAGGAAGGAAATTTAAACAAAAACCCAGATCAAACAATTGACCTTGAAGGACAATCACATCCCAAATCTCTTGAATCTTCTCAGAGAACCAAAAAGAAAAAGTGAGTGGCTGTGCGCCGAGAATGAGATAGGTATGTTTGTTTGTGTGCTGGAGCTTTGAGCGAAATATTGAGTCTTCTCAGAGAACCATTGGTTCTTGGGTTTCACTGATTCGAGCAGTATGTTTTTACAGTTTGATCGTCATACTCCATAAGGAATTTCTCATTTTCTACCCAAAAAAAACAAAGAAGTGAAATAAACTTAATAGACATTAGAGTACAATCTAACACAACTAATCACAGTCTAAACAGAAACAATGGCTGAAGAAGCAAGTTTTTCATGCAATTACCAATATCATGCTTCCATTGTAGAGATCAATATTCTTTCCATTCTTCATGACACTCGAATCATTTGAAGAACTTCGTACTCTTGGTTGCCCCACTTTATGCAAGCTATGTACTACTGCTTTCGGATCAACACTTGAGAACACAATAACTATTTCCCGAAAAAGACATTCACCCATATATTTGTAGCCCACATCTATATCAAAATAAATTCTACATAAAAAGACAATAGCAAGAAAAGAAAAAAAATATAAGAGTTTAATTTATGTGTCAAATCCCAACTATCGAGTTCTATACTCTAGTCAAGGTAGAGAGAAATTATACAAAAAAATTGAAATTTGGCTTAACTCAGATTGGATGATGTAGAATGAGAATCCTAAACCACTGAAATATTGACCAAATTTATATCTATCAATCCTATGTTAAACATAATCAACGTACAGTTGAGATAAATAGCATTTGTCACAATTTCTTAAAATCAAAGTCACAAACTGATGGGACATTTTCCGGGCACTCAAAGATAGCGACACGTGTACTCGGTGTCAAAAAATACTCTCTGCCGTGATCACGACACGTGCTCGTCGGATCATGATCCCTCTTTCCCTGAGATGGTACTATGCATAAGGATCTACCACGCCGGTATGCACGGGCGACACGTATTCCTCGGTCGATTGGGGGTGGGTACATCGGCCCTGATCGTACTAGGCCCTCGACACCTATGTGTACCCAATACGGCGGCGTTCCTGTTCCTGCAGGGCTATTGATAGACTGGTCATCAGTTTGAGCTAGACTAGATTAACTATCATGACCTGGTCTTATATAGATGGTGTCATGACGCACAGGAAAGCAGAAGGCTCAACCAAAGGGGAGCTGGCACGTGGCGTACTGTGTCAGATTAGAGGCAAAAAGACCAGAATGCCCTTGCTGACACACGACTTGGAAAAGCAAGTATTTAATGCACATTTCCCTTGATGAGACTACATTTAATGCGTGAAGACCCGAAAGTGAAAGACAAGGAATGATCCTGTGACAGAGCATTTAATATATCCCAGTCAAGTGAAGGTCATTAAATGCTCAATAGACTGAGGGTGATGCATTGGTTGCTCGGGGTCCCGAGCAGTTAAGGAAGAGGTCATTTCTCCTAAAAACCAGTGTGCACGTTACCCGCCTCTAATGATCACCTACTGATCATACTGACAGCAATCATGAGTTTTTAAGGTATAAATACTCTTCACAAAACGCATGATGAGGTATGAAAAAAACATTTTCTCAAACCTATACACAGTGTTTTCTTTTTCCCCTCTCTCAAAAAACTGACTTGATCGTCGGACGGGATATGCCAAAAAACACTCCAGCGCCCTCCTAACTCATTTTTCTCTGTTCCAATTTTCTTCCCTAGCCTTACAGGACCACCCTGGTGACCCACAAAAGTCACCCATTACCGTTCCAGGCTACCACTGGTCCTCACAGTCTGTTCCGCCCAGCAAGGTTGACCATTCGATTGACTGACTCGTGTTCACCACGGGAGAGATCTGTTCTCGTGTTTATATTATACAAGATCCTGCATGCACAATCTGGCACCGTCTGTGGGAAACGACTAATTTTTCTAGTTTCTTTTCTAGCAAGAACAGTGACCATGGTGAATACTCGACAGAAAGGGAAAGGTCCCCAACAAAGAAGTCTTAAGCTGCAAGCTCCACATCATGATGGAGGGAGGGGTCACGCTGATGACGACAGAAATGTCTCTATTCAGTCAAGGGGGCTTACTCCTCAAACCAGCATGGGCATCAGGTCAGGAGGATCCGCCCCCTTGGCTCGTCAACTGGCGGAGGTGATCGAAGAAAAGTTTGGAGATCGACTACGACAATTGGAAAGAGACAATGTGAATGTCCTAAGCCGGCTCAACGAATTCGCTGCCTCCGACGAAGGATCGAGGGACTCGTTCCTTTCTCGTAGACTTTCCGCCCAAGAAGTAGAAACTGAGGACCTGAGGAATCATTTAAATAACAAGGCTGAAGGCTCTAGGGCCCCGAAGCGCCCAAGAGCCAACGAGCACCCCCTTGACGATCGTTCCAGGAAGGCAAGACATTTAGCCTTGGACGACCTCCGGCGAGGACTGTCAAGGCGGAGGAAGGGGGACGAGTTCGAGGAGGATTCAACCCTTTCCACGCGATGCCCAAAAAAGGGGAGCCCTGTCAGTGAACTTGGAGACCTTAGAAGACATCCCTTTGGGGTGGAAACTGATCTCAGAGCTCGGTTGGAATCCAGGAGAAAGAACAGGGCTGTTCGGGATGATGCTGAAGACGAGACCATGCAATCACCTTTTATCAGGGATATCCGAGAGATAGAGGTACCAAAGAAGTTCGTCGTGCCAAGATTTAAAAGTTACGATGGGCGATCAGATCCCGAAGCTCACCTCAGGCAATACAAGCAAATGATGTCCCTGTATCATTCGGACCAACAGTTCCTCTGCCGAGTGTTTTCCATGAGCTTGGGGAGATTCCGCGATGAAGTGGTTCGAGGCTCTCCCCCCCAACAGCATTGGATCATGGAAGGAGTTGACGAGGCAGTTTCTAGCCCGATTCATTACAGGGAGTAAGCGGCCTAAAGACGTTGGATCATTACTGACGCTCAGACAGAGGGAATCCAAAACCCTTCGCCAGTATGCCATCCGGTACTGGGAAGAGGTTAATGAGGTAGAGGGGTGTTCGAAAGTTATGGCAGCGGCATCCTTCAGGCTTGGCTTGGCAAAGGACACGGACCTGTACCGATCCCTGACTAAAAAGACTCCCTCGGATATGGGCGAGTTGATGGCCCGAATAAACAAGTACTCTAGGATCGAGGACGAAATGGGGAGCAGCAAAGGCAGAAACCCCCCACCTAAGAGAAAAGAAAGGGAGCGGGAAGACACTTCTCGAAAGGGGCTGGTACCCCCTCTGGAAGGGTCATTCAAAGGTGTTCACACTATGTTCAGGGAACCCATCTACAGGTTGCTCCATAAGATCAAGCATGAGCCGTTTTTCAAGTGGCCGCCCAGGATGCAAAGCGATCCCTCCACCCGT